AAATTAATTTTAAGAGAGTAGTCCAACATATCTAAAGCACTGAGCTGTAAGTTCAACAATAAAGATGTGTTACAATGACAACAAAAATGATTGAAATGACCTGAAGTTACCTCATTAGTGATCCTACCAGGATGCAACTTTTGTTCTTTTGTCTTCATTCTCTATGGAGGGATTTTTCACAGTTGCTTGGAAAAGCCTTTTCTTTTGGTTCTTATTGTTTTCTCTTCTGCTTCTACTTATTCTTTTAAATCAAAACTCATTCATTTTGTACATGTTTTTCTGTACTTTTAGGCCCTTTGCTAGTTAGGATCTTCATCATACTAGCACATATGAACGACAGTGCAGAGGTAGATATTTTTTCGGGGCATGACAAAATTACGATGTCATCAGGTGACAAATTATAATCACTTACATTTCGATGGTTTTAATCTTCAAAAGCAATGTGACTTCCAGCAGCTTGCCCTTTTTTGATAAATTAAATTAGGGTCTTTATTTTTTCTTGTATATTGTGACAAAAATGCACTTTTCTTTATTCGTCCCAAGTTGGCAGGAATCATTTCTGTGTGTTTGACAGGAAGGAAGTGGAACTTGTGTTGTTCCAATGATTTTTCAGTGGACGATTTAAGTGCTCTGTTCGCCTCCAGAACAGGCCCTGTGGGAAGAAGCGATCCGGCACCAGGAAGAAAAGCAGGAAGACGATGAACTAGATGACTAGAAAGAAGGGTTATGATGATAGGAAAACAAACGAAAAGCAGTAATGGGCCAAGTAGAGACACGAAGAGGCCTGAAGAATTGAGGTTTATAATAACTGTACCGATGTCCGATGAATATGGCCGTGTACGGACAGTAGACTGGCTACCAGTCTTAATAGCTACAAGCGTAGTTGCAGCAATTATCTTGAGGCTTAGAATAAACGCAGGGGTGTATGCAGGCTGAATTCACCTCTCCTGACAAAGAAGAATCACTTGAACTTGAATGATGATTTTGGATGCAAATAAATCAGAAGCATAATTGAGAATTCCAGAAACAGTTCTCCACTGCCTTATGAATTGTCTGTCTTTGTCTGTCTTAGGGATTCCACCTCAGAGTAAAGGTTCAGGATCTGACTTTAGGACGGAATCAGATTATTCCAACAGCCCAATTCCAACTTTTCCCCTTGCGCTGTGCGCCAAGCATCCTTTCCCTCTCTTCCCCTTTTCCCGTCCATGAAGTCTACCGGGCTTTGACGTGAAAGCATGTCCTCTTAAAAGTGTGTGGCAACATCATCACTACGGTGGGTGAAACAGGTAGCTCAGCAAGCATCACCGATTCCTCCAGGTTGATCCCGGCGGGTTAATTAATATGGATTTGTTAGGCCCAGTGCAGGTCAAGTCCCGTATACCCATTACAATATGTACATATAAAACCACATGACACTTGTTTCTGATTGAAACAGGGTGAAACCGGAATGCTTTATCATTCAAATTTGGTCAAGATATGAACTTGGTTTCAAGGAATTCGTCTTCAACTTACATGTAATCTCAAATTAGGAAAACAGACTCTTCAAAGGGAGGCTTGCGCTAGAATGAACAGGCTACAAACAATAACACAAAACTCAATCCAGCTGAATGTAAAGCCTTGATCCAACCTCTTAACCTCCATATTGGAACCTCTGTCTTTAGCCAGTCACAATCTTTGAATACCCTTGGTGTTCGTATACAAAACGATTTGAAACGGGATACCCGAGAAGTACCTCAAGAACTGCAAGGCACAACCTGACTGCACACGGAGTAGTGCCTTTCAGTTCCAGAAGTAGGGAGGCCTGTGGGTTTTAGACTTGCCCAAACAACTGTAACTCTGATATCACTGGAAAGAGCAACTCAAGTGAAGTTCACTGATACATAAATCACCTTCATAGCTTGTACTACAGTGCAGTTATGACTGAAATATATACTAGTACAGGTATGGGTCCATGTGTCTGTCGCTCAAGTTTCATTTGCATTTGTATCTGTTGAATGAAGTAAAACTCGCATACATTTTCTTAAATGTCTCCTACATGTAGGTTACTATCACTTAAGAGATGATCTGTAAATGGTGACAGTCATGCAAGAACAAATCTTTACTGCCTACAAAATGGCCATATTTTATAGATTTCAAAACTAAACCTCTGCCAAAGTAATTGCACATTTTGTGTACTGTCATACAAACTTGAGATTAACCTGAGAGCAGTTTTGAGTATAAATTCTAATAGTACAAATACAAAACCAAAATGTGAAGGAGATACATACAACCTGCTGCTCTTGAACTCTGGGAATATTTAATTTGGTTGAAAGAATAAGGTGAATAAAGGAAAGATTTTTAACTGAACATTGTGATTGAAAAATTGAGAGTAAAATCAATACAGTAATTTCCCTACATCCAGATCAAATTATTCACCTCAAATAATCCTCTAATTCCAGAAAAATGTGGTCAGTAGTCCACCCTGCTTGCAGGGATACTACAAAATTACTTTCAATCAAATCTTGTAATTTGGACCTGTAATTGGCAAACACTCATAAATCTGTGTTGCACATTTAAAAACATCAACTACAGTCTTAATTTGAATCTCCCAAAGAGTGGGCTTACCGGTATGTACTTAAATTATACAGTACCAACGGTTAAGGTCACGTAAGGCATGTTTGGAACCAACATGAAACGACAGATCGTACCCATGGGAATGAAATTGCTTTTAACTGGACTTTTCCAGCTGCCCAGCGAGTTACTGGTACCAACGATACTATCCCCTACACGTGCAGCATAGCAAACCCATTACCTCACATATAAATCTATCATGCACCTGTACATCTAGTTGAGTTTGCCATGTATGTGTATACTTGCATGGATGATCCAAAACTAGGAAAACATACTAATATCTGTTCAGCTTTCATATCATGTCATTTTGACACAATAAACATTGAACGCAAGAGTTTATATGACTGCTGAGTGTGAAAAAACAACTTGGAATCATACATATCAAGCAACATCCTGCCCTACTTGTATAAATTTCTGTTGATTTTTGGGCCCCCTTGATTTTCGACAAAACATCTTAACATGTGAAACTGCAAGTTAGAAATCTGGCCTAAAATCCTCTTCCAAAAATTGTCTGAAAACAACTTTTTTTACAAGAAGCTTATACTGCACCATTCAAAGCATCACTTGTCTGAAAATGTGTTATCAGACAATACAAAAAGGTAGCCTAGTATTTCTTTTAAAGTGATTTGAAACCAGGAAAGTTTTGGAAAGTTGATGCAAAGTTGACTACCTACAAATGTAGGCCTACAATGTAAAAAGAAAAGTGTTTTGCACCAAAATGCGCCACCTTCTGTGAAGCCCACATCAATTCTAACATAAAATGTGGAAGTTTTTCTATCAGAACCTGGCTCCTCAACAATTCTCAGGTCTTGATTTAGAAGAAATGAACCAAAGAAGCAATTTCCATATCGAAACCCTGATTTTTAACTCATAGTATCAATCTTTCCTTGACATTTCTTAATCTGCATGAATCTGCACATTTTTGGCACCATCAGAAATGCTATTTTCTTCTCATCAAAAAGTATGTTTTCATCCTTTGGAGATTTCGAGGGCAAACGCGAACATGCTTATCACCTGATCACATGCTGAAATCAAGATGGCTGCCTCCGTGTCACAGTTGTCACATTGACAGGGTTGTAACTAGTCCTTTTTGCCTGTATCAAATCTCACTTAAGTTTCAACAAATTAAATTGACACATGCATAATAATTTTTTTAATTCAGAGTGAAGCATAGGCCTATATTGTACGGTACTTTTTAACGCCATGGATATTCTCACAGTTGGTATTCCATAATTTCACTCTCAAAACTCAAAGTGGCAAAAACAGTGTTGCAGTCTATAGGGAAAATCTGAATTATTGAGTAAACTCTTCTTAACCTATAGGCACACTACATGTACATCAAATACCAGTATGCCCCAAATTACACCATTTAGGCACTTTGAATATCTCCCACACTGTAGGCCCCTACTAAAAGGTATTTATCAAGTTGCAGCAAAAAGGAGAAAAACATGAAAATCCCTTTACAAATTGAATGGGGAGTTGCCCGTTTGCCAAGACGTGAGTGTAATAAATGGAACAACCTCCGTTCGCGAGAATGATGACGATAGAGGAATAACATGAAGAAAACATCGACCAGCTGACGATGACTTTTGTGGGAAAATGATAAAAAATGAAAATGACAACTATGTGTGGTAACAAACACTGAAACTCGCCATATCGCCGGGTTCCCTACTCAACTACTTAAGTACTGGAAGAAGGCCCACCCTATGGCCGTGGTGGCCTTGTGGTATTATCAAATTTTAATAATTCCTTCAATTTTAGCAGAATACCCCCGCCACTAACCTACTATTCAGTGCTTCCACCTCGCCGGCAAGGTCAAAAGTTACGCAAGTAGTGCGCATTGCGTTCAGACGACCACAAGAGGGCGCTCCAATGCCGACACCCGTATTCGCGTACGTGTACGTGTAGCGGCCAACCCGGGAGTCGAGTTCAAGTTGGACTTATCGTCGATCCCCATTCATGTCAGTCAAGCCATTATCATGTCAGGAAATGGACAAATGTATATTCCTTGTGGGCTATCTTGGTTTTTTATTCTGCTCCCCTTGTTCCAAGGATATTTTCTAACCTTATGCAACCCAAATGGAACCATCTGTAGTATGCAGTAATTGGAGGTCATAATGTTTACCCCACTTGCTAATCCAATCCATTGTGTTAGGGGAATTTTCCCACGGTCCTGACCGAGTATTTTTAGAAAAAAAGTCAGTACAATTGTTTGGGAGATTAATCAAATTGGAGGTTGCAGGTTCTTGGGACCTGGGATAAAATCTGCTGATTAGCAGACAAGTGGACCCACGGGCGATGTGCCTCGATTGGGCACAAAGAATATTTTCAATTGGCAAACTCACCGATGTCCCAATGGTATTGCAACAGATGTCTCCTAACAAACCTCCCTCTGTTTCCTGGTGAAACTGAAACTGAAAATGAAGTGCTAACCACTGAAAAAAACGACATGGAATCTGAAACAAATACTTCAAGGTCAACACCCTACCCCCTTAACAATGACAACGGAATCGATTTCAATCACTTTAGGAAATGAGGTCTACACCTATAATACTCGTGAATGCTACGAGCCTCCTTCTGAAATTGCCTGAACTGAAAATCATTTCACATAAAACGAATGCGTCTACAATCGGTGTAAGTGAAACATGGCTGGGTGACTCAGTTGGGCCTACTACTAACGAAATTAGCCTCCCAGGCTACACTACTGTCTGTCATGACAGAAATAGATGCAGAGGTGGAGTCAGTGCCTTTATCCGAGAAGACCTTGCTTTCAAAAGATGACAAGATCTAGAAGCAGACCACATCGAATCAATCTGAACGGAAATTTCCCTCACAAGAACCAAACCGATCCTTATTTGAATTGGCTACAGACTGCCGAGACAAAGCGACTTTTTTGAGCAACTGTTTTTCAACAGTGATACTTTGTCCAACTCGGAATACTATTTTTTAGGAGATTTCAATGTTAATCTACAGGACGGTAACAACCAGTCTTCCTTAGCAACTTCAGTAAAGGAATGGGCAGATACATTTGACTCCACTCAATTGATTAATGAACCTACCAAATCAACAGATAAGTGCAGCACTATGTTAGACCTGATCTTTGTTTCAGATAGATCTAAAATTCTCAATCAGGAGTTCTGAACACAGGCTTTAGTGACCATTGTATGATTTGTTTTGTACACGTATAACTCGTAGAAGTCATGTAAAGAAACTACATATAAGACGTACTAAAAACTAAAATGTTGACGACTTTAATCACAAACTTGAAGATATTGATTGGGCTGAATTTTATAATTGCATAGATGTAGATCGAGCTTGATCTAAGTTCAGTTAGTTGTTGCTAAACGTCCTTTATACAGTGGTTCCATTAAAACAAATTAGAATCAAAGCTCGATCTGATCGTTGGATCAATGCGGAAATCATAAGGCTCATCAGAGAAAGGGATACAGCATTTACAGCATTTAGAAAGAACAAAAATGATACACCGTACAATACCTTCTGTGCACTGCGGAATAAAGTTCAATCTCTGATTAAAAGGGCCAAAAGAGATTACTTTGAAACCAAAATCGAAGATAAAAAAAAGAATACCAAACGTCTGTGGAAAAATCTGAAATCCCTTGGTTTCTTAAACAAAAATTGAACAAAACCCAAAATTTGTTTGAACATCGTTGGTGAAATATGTTACAAAGAAAAGTGATTGCCGATGAATTTAATCACTTTTTTTTTACTTCAATCGCTGAAACACTGGCCGGTAAAATGCCCACAGCTCGTAATATCTCTGACACACAATTTGTTACTACATGTGCATATTCTATTCCGATCAAGGAATTCTACCTAATAGTTTTCAACTCTACTCAGTGGATAGAGACATGGTTTTTAAACATCTACAATTCTTAGTATTAGCTGGTATTCCAACTAGATTTAATCACGATTGCACAGTACCATCCACTCAGTAGTCACCCACCTGGTTAATTTGTCCATAACCAACAATACTTTCCCAACTTCACTCAAAACTGCCAGTTATTCCCTTATTAAAAAACACAATAAATTTGAAACAATTACCGGTCTATCTCCATTCTCGGTGCATTTAGCAAGGTATTAAGTGGTTTACGAACAGGTTCAGGAGTAGGTCTACTTCGTTAAAAAAAATTCTGTATGAATTCCAATCCGGCTTTCGATCCCAATGTTCAAATGAAACCTCCCTGATCCACCTAACAGACTTCCTCAGATCCGAATCGAATAGAGGTAAATATGTCAGAGCGATCACGGTGGACCTACACAAAGCTTTTGACTCTGTTAACCACAAAGTTCTTACATATATTTTAGCTGCGATGGATTTTCAGATAACCAGTAAACTGGTCTAAATCTTACCATTCACAAAGATCACAGGTGGTTGAGATTAACAATGTAAGATCAAATGAACTCAGTCTTAAAGCTGTGGTGTCCCACAGGGCTTGATATTAGGACCATTGCTGTTCTTTTAATGACATGCCATATACTGTCGACTGTAAATTACAGCTACACTATGCACACGACGCACACAAAGATGCGTACAAAGTAAAACAGAAACTATCTGCAGAACTTACTAAGGTCAGTAGCTCAGTGTCTCGCAGATAGTAGGCCTAGGCTTTCACTCCATCTTGGTAACACCCTATGCAGTCGCGGCGCCGCTCGCGCATGATTTGGCCAGGGCCTGGATCCGTCAGGGTGGAAATATACCGCCCCTTACACCAAGGACAAAGGACGCTGAACGAAATGGCACGCCTGGCAAAGACATGTGTAGCGGGCATAATATGAAAATTATGACACCTGCTTACATTATTTATTTGTTTACTAGTTACTAGAGGAGATAAGTGCGTTTCCGGCTAAGTTAGCGAAAGGTTTTAACACGCTGTACAAAAATACAGATATCCTAAATCTAAAGGATACATATATTTAAAAACAACAAGGAAAACCCAGGGATTCTGTTTACACAAGAAATTAACAATAAAACTAAATGAAGGGCGTAGCTTGAAGTTGCGTTGAAGTTGGGGATGACTGGCCCTAGCTTCACTTGGCACTAAGCTGGGGAGCCTGCAGTTGAAGAACTTGCAGTTCAAGGGGGCTTGGATGAACTCTGAGGGCCGTTGGCTATGTGCAGATGGTGTGTAGGAGTCGGTGCACAGTCTCTCCTTCCCCGGCTTGAGTAAATCAGGTGTGGGGAACACAGTGCATGCGACTCCGCTTCAAGTCGCTCCCTTCCAGCAGTACATT